TTGATCGACGAACACATAACCTACGATAACACAATACTTAAAAATTTGTTGTTGGTAACATTTATCTGCAACACTTATCGCGCGATAATGATATAAAAACGTAAATTTTGGCAACGGATATTGCATTATTATTAGGGAAGTTATAAAGAAATTTGACTTTTAATTATCTTGATTATCAAAGTTGTGAAGCACTTTAAGTTAATTGAAATAAATTCAATAGTGACTGGCTAAAAAAAAGAAGATATAAAGGTGACATGAGTTTGTTGCAGCAAATTATATAATTATAAACACTGTTTAAATTATGTAAACTCTACAAGCATGCAAAAATTGTAGAAACACAAAGATATAATGTTCTCTTAGTAATGCCACACTGACACCAAATTCCCATATATGTAACGAAATATCCTCACGCCGTAAAAAAGAGATAATTTATGTTACAAAAGCGCACGCGACTGCTGGCATGCAAAACTGCTGATTATAATAAATGTTCGCGAAGAATAAGATAAAGTGTCTGTCGTGAAAAGATTAGGCACGCATCTTTGTGCGACGAAAAGTTGTGTTTCGAAAGCAATTCGAACTGCAATTCAGTTACGACTAAAAAATATCATCGGTTGAACACCGATGATCGATCGTTCGGAGAACACGATTACTACGTAATCCGATTTTTTGTCTCTCAAACAGCGCTCACATCACTTATCTCTGGGATATCAGTTAAGACTATAATTTCTCTTTGTGTGCCTTAACTTGGTCTGAAAGAAACTTGTGATATCTTCGATCGACACAAGAATGAGAAAACTTTATTTGATTCGTCATAAATACCTTTTGCGCATTAACTTGTAAAATTCATTATTATCACGTTATTGCAGAGGAGTCGCAAAATTCAGCATCATGGCAAATTTACTGTTAGCGTCGACAATGAACGATGATGGACATCATCATGATCATAATCATGATCATACCTTGGAGTCGCATAAGGAGGTGCTAACCGCCAAAGCAGTCACCATGGTAGTTTTGTGCAGCGTCAGTACAATAATGGGCATCTTACCCATATTCTTGGCCAAATGGTTCAAATGGGACTTGAACGGACAAAATCCCAGGTAAATATCACACTGTTTAACTGATATAGATATTTTAACGACTCTAATACAAATTAGAAATCTCGTGGTAGTAGTTCTTCTCTAGATATCTTCTCTAGGTATATGTAGTATCGCGCTGTGCAATTATTTAAATGTAATATCTCCATGAATCATGCGACAATAAAATTCTAATAATAATTTTTGATAAGATTTATAAACGCCAGAAATATAGAAATGGGAAATAATTTATATATTTATCACCACTGTTTTATCAATTTATTTTTACTCATATACGGCAAAATACGTGGAACGGTGAGTAAACGGTTCAAGACGTATATTTGCTATGATACTTGAGAGATTACGACAATTACGATTATAATCCCACAAACAAAGGCTTTGAATTTCGGCAATATCGTTTTAAAAATCCCCAACGATGTAATACGACCGAATTAGCGAGATAAATGTATACAAGTAATAAAATACCGAATTCGTAGATCTACGAGAATTGTGAGCCTCCTGCTCGGCTTCGGCGGAGGCGTCCTCTTCAGCACAACGTTCCTCCATTTGATGCCGGAAGTTGCGGAAGGTGTAGAAAATCTCGTTGCGGATGGCAAGATCGAGCCTCTCGAGTTTCCATTGGCATACATGCTCGCGTGCGCCGGGTGAGTTGAAACTTCATGATGTCATCGTGTCAGAGCTAAGATTATAAAAAAAATCGTGTTAGAAAAAAGATAGAATATCTTTCCATTGACGCGTAAGATTCCTCCGCAACGAAAAAACAAAGTATTACTCATTACTCGATTTAAATTTTTAGAATCATTAATATATGCGTTGATATAGTCGCAATTTTATGAATATAAATTAATTTTATGCAATTATAATTACATCATATGTATATTAATTTATTTTATATATTAATTTTTACATATTAATATAT